TGTACAGACATCAGACAACATGTACAGACATCACACAACATGTACAGACATCACACAACATGTGGTACAGACAACACACAACATGTACAGACATCACACAACATGTACAGACATCACACAACATGTACAGACATCACACAACATGTACAGACATCAAACAACATGTAGTACAGACATCACACAACATGTACAGACATCACACAACATGTAGTACATACATCACACAACATGTACAGACATCACACAACATGTACAGACATCACACAACATGTGGTACAGACATCACACAACATGTACAGACATCACACAACATGTAGTACAGACATCACACAACATGTACAGACATCACACAACATGTACAGACATCACACAACATGTACAGACATCACACAACATGTAGTACAGACATCACACATGTACAGACATCACACAACATGTACAGACATCACACAACATGTACAGACATCACACAACATGTACAGACATCACACAACATGTGGTACAGACATCACACAACATGTAGTACAGACATCACACAACATGTACAGACATCACACAACATGCACAGACATCACACAACATGTACTACAGACATCACACAACATGTAGTACAGACATCACACAACATGTAGTACAGACATCACACAACATGTAGTACAGACATCACACAACATGTGGTACAGACATCACACAACATGTACAGACATCACACAACATGTAGTACAGACATCACACAACATGTACAGACATCACACAACATGTACAGACATCACACAACATGTAGTACAGACATCACACAACATGTACAGACATCACACAACATGTACAGACATCACACAACATGTACAGACATCACACAACATGCACAGACATCACACAACATGTACTACAGACATCACACAACATGTAGTACAGACATCACACAACATGTAGTACAGACATCACACAACATGTAGTACAGACATCACACAACATGTGGTACAGACATCACACAACATGTACAGACATCACACAACATGTAGTACAGACATCACACAACATGTACAGACATCACACAACATGTACAGACATCACACAACATGTACAGACATCACACAACATGTACAGACATCACACAACATGTACAGACATCACACAACATGTAGTACAGACATCACACAACATGTAGTACAGACATCACACAACATGTACAGACATCACACAACATGTACAGACATCACACAACATGTAGTACATACATCACACAACATGTAGTACAGACATCACACATGTACAGACATCACACAACATGTAGTACAGACATCACACAACATGTAGTACAGACATTACACAACATGTACAGACATCACACAACATGTACAGACATCACACAACATGTGGTACAGACATCACACAACATGTAGTACAGACATCACACAACATGTGTTTATGTGAGTGTGTTGTTTAAGTTGGTTATGTGTGTGGTTTAAGTTGTTTATGTGTGTGTGTGTTTAAGTTGTTAATGTGTGTGTGTGGTTTAAGTTGTTTAAGTGAGTGTGTTGTTTAAGTTGTTTATGTGAGTGTGTTGTTTAAGTTGTTAATGTGTGTGGTTTAAGTTGTTTATGTGTGTGGTTTAAGTTGTTTATGTGTGTGTGTTGTTTAAGTTGTTTATTTGAGTATGTGGTACGTAGTACCAGTCCATTACCCGTACAAATGAGCAACATACAGTGCAGGCCTTGACCTTGCCAGCAGGTACACGCTAAAGATAAGAGAACAGATTGTATCGTTCTAAACTGGCTAGATAAGATCAAACTAGTCTTTGTGGTCTAGCTAGTCTTTGTGGTCTAGCTAGTCTTTGTGGTCTAGCTAGTCTTTGTGGTCTAGCTAGTGTTTGTGGTCTAGCTAGTCTTTGTGGTCAAGCTAGTCTTGTGGTCTAGCTAGTGTTTGTTTGTTTAGCTAGTATTTGTGGTCTAGAAAGTGTTTGTGGTCTAGCTAGTATTTGTGGTCTAGCTAGTATTTGTGGTCTAGCTAGACTTTGTGGTCTAGCTAGCCTTGTGGTCTAGCTAGTGTTTGTGGTCTAGCTAGTATTTGTGGTCTAGCTAGTCTTTGTGGTCTAGCTAATCTTTGTGGTCTAGCTATTCTTTGTGGTCTAGCTAGTCTTTGTGGTCTAGCTAGTCTTTGTGGTCTAACTAGTCTTTGTGGTCTAGCTAGTCTTTGTGGTCAAGCTAGTCTTGTGGTCTAGCTAGTGTTTGTTTGTTTAGCTAGTATTTGTGGTCTAGAAAGTGTTTGTGGTCTAGCTAGTATTTGTGGTCTAGCTAGTATTTGTGGTCTAGCTAGACTTTGTGGTCTAGCTAGCCTTGTGGTCTAGCTAGTGTTTGTGGTCTAGCTAGTATTTGTGGTCTAGCTAGTCTTTGTGGTCTAGCTAATCTTTGTGGTCTAGCTATTCTTTGTGGTCTAGCTAGTCTTTGTGGTCTAGCTAGTCTTTGTGGTCTAACTAGTCTTTGTGGTCTAGCTAGTCTTTGTGGTCTAGCTAGTCTTTGTGGTCTAGCTAGTCTTGTGGTCTAGCTAGTGTTTGTGGTCTAGCTAGTATTTGTGGTCTAGCTAGTGTTTGTGGTCTAGCTAGTATTAGTGGTCTAGCTAGTCTTTGTGGTCTAGCTAGTATTTGTGGTCTAGCTAGTGTTTGTGGTCTAGCTAGTATTTGTGGTCTAGCTAGTGTTTGTGGTCTAGTTTGTATTTGTGGTCTAGCTAGTCTTGTGGTCTAGCTAGTGTTTGTGGTCTAGCTAGTATTTGTGGTCAAGCTAGTGTTTGTGGTCTAGCTAGTGTTTGTGGTCTAGCTAGTGTTTGTGGTCTAGCTAGTGTTTGTGGTCTAGCTAGTGTTTGTGGTCTAGCTAGTATTTGTGGTCTAGCTAGTCTTGTGGTCTAGCTAGTCTTTGTGGTCTAGCTATTCTTTGTGGTCTAGCTAGTCTTTGTGGTCTAGCTATTCTTTGTGGTCTAGCTAGTCTTTGTGGTCTAGCTAGTCTTTGTGGTCTAGCTAGTCTTTTTAGTCTAGCTGGTCTTTGTGGTAAACCTTTGTGGTCTAGCTAGTCTTTGTGGTCTAGCTAGTCTTTCGACCCCCCCCCCCCCACCTTCTTGAAGAAAGTGGAATTTATATAGAAAATATATACTTTTATCACTGCCCCCCCCTCCCCCTCGCCCCGGAAATTAAGTCCGGCCCCCCGAAAATATCAAGTACCTCCCCCTCCTGGAGAAAAAAGCCTGGTAGAAACACTGAGCACAAGTGCAACCAGTCGCGGACATACCCACATACCCACATGTGGCAACAGCATCAGGAACCATACACAACACAACCAACAACCACACACCACACAACCAACAACCACACCACACCACACACCACACCACACAACCAACAACCACACCACGCAACCAACAACCACACCACACAACTAACAACCACACCACACAACCAACAACCACACCACACAACCAACATCCACACCACACAACCAACAACCACACCACACAAAAAAACAACAACCACACCACATAACCAACAACCAACAACCACACCACACAACCAACATCCACACCACACAACCAACAACCACACCACACAACCAACAACCACACAACCAACATCCACACCACACAACCAACAACCACACCACACAACCAACAACCACACAACCAACAACCACACCACACAACCAACAATCACACCACACCACACAACCAACAACCACACCACACAACCAACAACCACACCACACAACCAACAACCACACCACACCACACCACACCACACAACCAACAACCACACCACACAACCAACAACCACACCACACAACCAACAACCACACCACACAACCAACAACCACACCACACAACCAACAACCACACCACACCACACAACCAACAACCACACCACACAACCAACAACCACACCACACAACCAACAACCACACCACACAACCAACAAGCACACCACACCACACAACCAACAACCACACCACACAACCAAAAACCACACCACACCACACAACCAACAACCACACCACACAACCAACAACCATACCACACAACACACCACACCACACACCACACCACACAACCAACAACCACACCACACAACACACCACACCACACCACACACCACACCACACAATCAACAACCACACCACACAACCAACAACCACACCACACAACCAACAACCACACCACACAACACACCACACCACACACCACACCACACAACCAACAACCACACCACACAACACACCACACACCACACCACACAACCAACAACCACACCACACAACCAACAACCACACCACACAACCAACAACCACACCACACCACACAACCAACAACCACACCACACAACCAAAAACCACACCACACCACACAACCAACAACCACACCACACAACCAACAACCACACCACACAACCAACAACCACACCACACCACACAACACACCACACCACACAACACACCACACCGCACACCACACCACACAACCAACAACCACACCACACAACCAACAACCACACCACACAACACACCACACCACACCACACACCACACCACACAACCAACAACCACACCACACAACACACCACACAACCAACAACCACACCACACAACCAACAACCACACCACACAATCAACAACCACACCACACACCACACCACACAATCAACAACCACACCACACAACCAACAACCACACAACACAACACAACCAACAACCACACCACACAACCAACAACCACACCACACAACCAACAACCACACCAGATAACCAACAACCACACCACACAACCAACAACCACACCACACCACCAACGACAACACTAATCTTACATGCACGTGAGAGATGGTGAGTGTTGTATCATTTGATATATCCACTCCCCACTAGATTCTTCCATTTACTTCACCTAGCCATCACCCTCACCCCCACCCCCACCCCCACTGTGCCGCCTGTTGGTTGTTTTGGTTTGGCGCGAGTTGACCTGTTTTCGTGATAAGTCGAACTTCGCACAAGTAGGTCAACAGCCTTGGGTCGTGTTTGTATCGTGCATAGATTGGTGCATCAATACACGAACACACAACCAACACGCCACCAGTGGGTGCATTTATACCCGTGTTGTGCTCACTCTAAGCTACATACAGCTAAGTCGTGTGCATTTCTTCATATCCTAGAGTGAGTGCAGGTGCTACAGCCGTATTCGATACCGCCCATGAGCAAGAGTTCAGCTTGCCAGAGTTAGGCCTGCCAGAGTTAGGCCGCTTATGTGAACTTTATTTGAGAGGCAGACAACAATTGCCAGATATCAGGACTGTGTGCGACGCTCAACTTGTCAGCATATGTTACGTCTTGCTGTCTAAAGTGGGGAGTAGAGTCAGCCAGCTGTCGGTAGAAGAGTCAGCCTGCTGTCGGTAGAAGAGTCAGCTAGACCAGCTGGAGAAGCGCCAGGACTTTTGACCGCCTTCAGTGGAGTCAGCACTATATTATTCTCTGCTGCTATTTTTAACCTGGGATTTACTACTCGGGATTTGGGATATAGGATTTATTAAAGCAGAGTCGAACGCTTGATGACGTCACAAAGAGCAACACAACTGGACTAACTAAGGTAAGAATTGAATTCCCTGACTGTCTGCTAACCTTGACCAAGTGGCCAGAGGCGTAGCGACCCTTCCCGGCGCCCGGGGCGAACTTTCGATTTGGCGCCCCCCCCCCTCCTTGCTTATATACATATATATATATATATATATATATATATATATATATATATATATATATATATATATATATATATATATATATACATACATATATATATATATATATATATATATATATATATATATGTGTGTGTGTGTGTGTGTGTGTGTGTGTATAATTGTGTATGTGTAAGCGTGTGTCAGTGTAAGCGTATGTGTGTATAAGCGTGTATGTGTAAGCGTGTATGTGTGTGTGTATAGGCGTGTGTGCGACAGTCCGGAAAAGGTTTAATAATTACAGTGTATGATTTTCGTTCATTAAAACTTTATTCAATTCCCATTAAGATGCGTTTTCCTTTTACAAAAGATTAGTAATGTCAGAAAAAAAAGGCTGATCTGAGTTAGAGGGTTGTTTGTATTTTGTAGCAAGCGCTAATTTGTTTAGATCAGCCTTTTATGTTCTATTTTTGGAACGATCTCTGTTATGATATGGTACATAGATGGATAATAAGTTTGTTAGAATAAGGTCATACAAGTGACATACAAGAGCAACTTATCAGAAACATTTATTGATCGCATTGGAATACGACATGGGTATTTCGTTGACTGATAGAATAACGAAACAATCTAGAGGAAACAAGCTGGAATCCAACGGATGTTAACAGCTCGAAGTCTTGGATTTTGCAGATGTGCGCTGCCTTCTCATCCACTGTCAACAACAAATGCAGAACTAATTGTAGTGATTGAAGAAACAGTAATAACCAGTTTAATGATAGTGGCACCGCCCATGACGTCCTGATTATAATCAGCAGCAATTAACACGCGTTTTAACAGTCTAAGACAATGTGGAATTCAAATGCATTTTCAAAAAAATTCATGCAGGATCTATAGCTAAATGTGAAGTCTCTTTTACTGTATGGCTCGGAGCTAGATTACAGACTGTGAAGAATGAAATAAGAGCATGGAAAAAGTGGTGGTTAGGGCACAATATCAGAAAGATAGTAAAGAACATCACTAAGCAGGTGCTGGTGTAAAGTCCACGAGAAAGAGTAGGAAAAGGAGACACACAAAAAAATGTCTGAAGAAAATCGTTTGATCTAGGGTTCTATCTTCATATAATAATCATTAAAAAAGTTTTTAAAAACCCACGTTTTCTGATTGAACTAAAAAGTAGAAAATAATTGCTATACATCACAATAATGCAAGCGATCACTCTACTATAAGCGATGAAAAACGTGGGGCGCCGAAGTAAAAGTTATATTACTATTGATTAGATAATACTATTGACTTTTATTAGGGAGCTTGTAGAGAGTCAACAGTATTAGAAACTGTAAGAAAATCACGGCGCCCCACGTTTTTGATCGCTTATAGTAGAGTGATCGCTTGCATTATTGTGATGTATAGTAATTATTTTCTACTTTTTAGTTCAATCAGAAAACGTGGGTTTTTTAAAAACTTTTTTAATGATTATTATTTTCTACTTTTTAGTCTTTGTCTGTTTGTTTGCATTAAAATCTTGCTATCGATTTTATCTTTTATTAACACGTTTTTCTTAACTCAGCTTCGCGTTTGTGGATTTGTTTGTTGTTAAAATTGACATCGAAAATTAGCCCACTTCTGATTGCTCTAGAGATCTAAAATTTGGCATGCAGGCTACTTTCGCCTAACAATTTCAGATGCAATCATAAAAACTAGCAATTAGAGACCGTAATTAGCTTAATTTAATTACGCCACAAGGACCATAAAATTGAGGACATGATTTCTAAAGATACCGACAAGACTGGAGGCCTATTGACACAGTTCCTTCGGCCCCAATCGATGTGAGCGCGCTGGCCGTGATCGTATAGTGGTTAGTACTTCGCGTTGTGGCCGCGACAACCCAGGTTCGAATCCTGGTCGCTCAAGATTTTTAGTCCGTGTATTTATAAACACTTAGTCAAGTCATACTTAATCAAGTCATTAGATAAAGTAGAAAATAAACTATATAAAAAACTTTTTTAAAAACCACGTTTTTCATGTGTAGCAACGGACTAAAAAGGAGAAAATAAAATACTTTTAAAAAACTTAAAAAAAAAAACCACGTTTTTCTTGTGGACTAAAAAGTAGAAAATAAATTTTTCTTTTGTGCTTCCTCGAGCTGTGCAGGTTCTTGTGATGACTGACAAAAAACGTGGGTCGGGCAGATGGGTCGGGAAATTTGATGGTGAACGTACCCACGTTTCTTGTCAGTCATCACAAGAACCTGCACAGCTCGAGGAAGCACAAAAGAAAAATTTATTTTCTACTTTTTAGTCCACAAGAAAAACGTGTTTTTTTTAAAAAGTTTTTTTAAAGTATTTTATTCACTTTTTTTTTTGGGTAAACGAAGACAACTCGTAAAAAGACAACTCGTAAAAAACACGTTGTGTGAATACGTTACTGACTAGAACACATAGATTTGAACCCGTGTCGAGTGGGATAGCAATCGTGTGCCCAACCACTCAACCATATCGTCTCCCCCATTCTGGCCACCATTTGTTACGGTTGTTTGTACACAAACACCGCGTGAACACTACTCAGTAAGCAAAGAGGGACAGTACCGAACCTTGTTTTCATCAAATTACAGTTACTGGGTTATGTCCCCTTTTCCCCACGTTTTTACTACAATTATATAGCGGTCTAAAATGCTCAATAAAATGTTTCCATGGATCAATTTAGTAATAATAACAATTGAATATTCTATGGTCATCGTAAAAAGACAACTCGTAAAAAACACGTTGTGTGAATACGTTACTGACTAGAACACATAGGTTTGAACCCGTGTCGAGTGGGATAGCAATCGTGTGCCCAACCACTCGACCATATCGTCTCCCCCATTCTGGCCACCATTTGTTACGGTTGTTTGTACACAAACACCGCGTGAACACTACTCAGTAAGCAAAGAGGGACAGTACCGAACCTTGTTTTCATCAAATTACAGTTACTGGGTTATGTCCCCTTTTCCCCACGTTTTTACTACAATTATATAGCGGTCTAAAATGCTCAATAAAATGTTTCCATGGATCAATTTAGTAATAATAACAATTGAATATTCTATGGTCATCGGAAACAAAGCTTCCCTGAAAATTTCAGCGCGCTAGCTAACTGGGAAGTGCCCGAAATATCGATCGCAAGATTTGAGTGGAGACCCAAACAAACAGACGCGAAAGCAAGTTAAAGAAAACGTGGGAAAAAAATCAAGTTAGTTGACGAAGTGTTGCCTACGCCTATTCTCCTTAGGAAACCGAAAAAAAAGAAGGAAATCAAACGAGCTTAGAGCAGTGGTTCTAAACTTGTATTCGATCGAACCCAAGAGTATGTAAGTCTCAAAGCTTTGGCGGAGGTCAAGACACACACCCGACATATGATTCACGATAAGATTTTGTCAATATTGACGCTAAAGTTATTAAGAAGGATTCGGTGAAGGCGCATATGAAACTGGTAGGGTTCGGTACCTCCAAAAAGATTAAGAATCACTGCTTTAGAGTGTAGTTTGTATAAGGTGCAAGCTTATTTGGTCTACGTTTGGTTGTGTCTTTAGAACAATTTCGATAATAGTGTATTATAGTTTTAAATTATCAGTTAGGTCGAACAAAGTAACAAAGCATCATCACCTGTTGTGGTGTTATACCATTTTTACATTGTTTAGTAGGTCTAGTAGCCTTAACTATATGAAAATTGCAGTATTAGGACTTGTTATAAAACAAGCAAAAAAATGACCTATTCAGTACAATATCTTTATGTTTTTAGCTTTTGTTCGAGACAAAAGAGCCCCCCCCCCCCGCACACACACGCGCACACCTCCCAACCATCTTTGACAAAGTTTGTAGAGCGGGTTAATGTAACTAGCTTTCTAACTTTTTAAAAAATGTTACACAATTGTACAATGCACTTTAGTACAATTAGTTGCTTTTCTAAGCGCTAAAGGTTGCTTACTCAAAATCCAGTGTAATTTTGCGATTTTAGTTAGTCTAAAAGCGCCCCCCCCCCCCCAGCACCATCTTAATCAAAGTCATTTACGTATTTTACGGTTCAACAACCTGTTTTAATACAATTGGTTGTTTTTATAAGTGGTAACGTGTATCGTCTCACCTATATAGTGTAAATTCTTCCGATTTTAGTCTCGAAAAGCGCACCCCCCCCCCATCTAGGAAAAGCTGGAAAGCAGTGTTTCTTCCAGACTTTTTTCTCCGGGGGGCACTTGAAATTTCCGGGGGGGGGGGGGCGGTAGACTTTCTTCGGGGGCGGGGGGGGGGGCGGACACTGTTAAAAGTATATATTTTCTATATAAATTATAAAAATTTCATTTCGTTCGGGGAGGGGTGGGGGGGGGGGGGCGGTAAAAAAAATTCCCTGGGGGGGGGGGGGCTTTCTCCCCCCCCCCCCCCCGATGAGATGCCTGGAAGAAACTCTGCTGGAAAGCGGTTTTGCCGGTCACTGCTTCTTAAGATTATATGTTTTACAGTTAATTTTCAAGGTTGAAAACAGTTAAACCAGTATGTAAAGGCTTGTAGTCATTACATTTCTTAACTTAGACGGTTTATAATTCAAAACTGCAGCATAAAATCAGCTTTAATCCACTCCTTTTGGCGCCCCCCCCCTCTTCCCTCCCGCCCCCCTCCTAACTACGCCTCTGCAAGTGGCCTGACTGTCTACATTCAATCCCTGTCTGTTGACGTTCAGGACCCCACCCCCTCCCATGTGTGTATAGGTGTAAGGAGGGGGGTGGGGGTCAGTGGTCATGAGAACGGCAAACATTCTCCGTTGACTACAAGACATTCTCTCACACAACTGGATGGGGGAGGGGGGACAGACAAACACATAAACACACACACACACACGTATATATATATATATAAATATGAATAAATAAATAAATAAATAAATAAAT